AATGACCTGGGGATTTGGCCGGTGTGACCTACAGGTCTTGTCACCCCTCTCTCAAGTGGGGGCTCCTCCTGCTCCAGCATGGTTGGTGACACTGCTGGATGCACCTCTAACTGAGCGTGTGGGGACTGGGGACCCACCTCTGCCCATCACCCGTTCCTAACAGTGGGCTTTGCCTAACAGGGTGCCCATCCCTGGGTTCAGTGGGCTCTCGGCCACAGCACTTCCCTCAACAGCCCACACCAGGCCACCCTCTGGCCCAGGCTAGGGGCGACTCACCGCTGCCAGCTTGTCGAAGCGGGCGAAGAGCTCGTTGAGGGTCATGACCAATTCCTGAGCAGTGCACTGGGATGCCAGGCTGGTGAAGCCCTCGATGTCAGCGAACAGGATGCTGGGGAGACAGGCAGAGCGGGGAGACCCTGCTGTAGGGGGAATGTTGATCTCTCCTCAATTTCGACATTAAACCTTAACCCCACTGTGACAGTACCAGTGTGAAACCTAGAGGGTGAATAGATCATGAGCCGGAGCCCACATGGGCGGGTCAGTGCCCTTATAAACGCACCCTAGGGAGCTCCCTGGCCTTTCTGTCCTACGAGGACACAGCGAGAAGGCGGCTGTCCAGGAGTCAGGAAGCAGGCCAGCAGACACTGAGCCTGCTAGCCTTGATACTGGGCTTCCTAGCCTCCAGAACTGAGGAACTGCGGCTGTTCATAAGCCATCCAGTCCGTGGCATTCCCTCATAGCAGCCGAATCAACCGAGACAGAGCCCCATGGGGCAGAAAGGCAGTGGGACGCGGCCAGGGCCCAGCCTGGGGCTCCGCGGCCTTAGGAGAGCCGGTGCCTATAAGAGTCCTGGGGTGCTCCAAATGGCTGCAGAGGCCAAAGAGGCCCTCGCCTTGGGAGTCAAGGGGCTGCCCCCGCCCCAGCCAGGCTATAGGCTGCCATTCCTGGCTTCCTGCACTCTGACTGCAGCCTCACTCCCTCCAAGAGGAAAGGAGGGCAAGGGCCTGAGGCCTCGGGGTGCATCATAAGGGCACGGCAGGCAGCCCGGACCCCAGTTCTCGGTCACCTCTGGGTCTGCCCTGCTTGGCTCCCAGCAGCCCTCCAAGGCAGCCAAGCCTGGGCCTAGGAGGAGGGACCGTGAGGGAGCGAACCAAACCCCACTCAGGGTAGACCCCACGCCCTCTACTCCAGGAGTCCTCCAGTAGAGGCAAACTAAAAGAGGCCTGGGAGGAGAAAGGCAGATGCAACCAGTCGGCCACGGGGCTGAGGACAGCCAGGCCCCGGCCTGACCCTGCTGGCCCTCTGACCTCCCCCCTCCAGCACACTCAGAGGCACGAGCTGGTTAGGGTGAAAACACCTTTGTCCCCTTAACAGACTCCCGGAGGTGAGGCCCCAGGGCCAGACGTATGGAGTCCCCATGGTCTTTTCTTAACATGGACACCAGGACGTATTGAGAAGCCCCGGCAGTCAGGTGCTGAGCTGAGTTTCCAGCACATCCTGGCGCTGAGTCCTCCAAGCAGCCCTGGTGTCCTCATGTCACCGAGGGTGCTGAGCCTCAGGACACAGCGGAGGCAGTGGCATGGCGGGACCCCCCTTCAAGGCCTGTGCTCTTCCCGCCTGCCCACGGGGCTCCTAAGGCCCCAGAACTGACAATCTCGTGTTTAAAATTAAGAATGCAGAATTAAACATAATTTGTCATTTTATCCCAGCAAAGTGTGTTGGGGTATTAAGCCTGTCATTCTATTCTGATGCTTTGACATCTGAGGCCTCACAGACCCTTGGAAGACTGTACCTCTCAGGGATACCAGCTCGCAGAGACAGTAAACAACTTGTCTTAGAAAGCACCCTTCATATGCAAACCGCCCATCCAGAGCCCCCGCTGCTGCCGCCCACCCGCTTCTCCCCTGCCCTGCCCATCCGCAGCAGGGTACTCTGCAACCCGGACCAGCTCCTGCACCCCAGGGTCCATGTAGTTCTTTAACCACTGATCCTAACGCTTCGCCTTGCCGGCCTTGCTGTTCCTCCAGAAGCCACACCACAGGCTCCAGCCCACACGCCCCACTCCTGGCCTCCTGACGGACCCTGCTGGCTGTGTGGCCCCTGCGTGGTGAGGTGTGGTGGCGTTTCCCGTGTTCCCCCATGTGGTGGCTGGGCTCCTCCTCTAGGAAGTTGTGGGTGACACACTACCTTCAGGGGCAGTCACCTGCTGACCTGCTGGCTCACCACACCTGAATGACAATACAATCGACGTTTTAGGGCAGCTGGACACTGCTCTAAGCCCTTCGCGGGTTACTAACTCATGTAAGCCTCACAACGACCCCGAGGTTAGTCCCTCCTTTCACAGGTGAGTAAAGAAGGCACTGGAAGGTCCCACATGGCTGACTGCCGCGATACCTGCTTAGGCCGCCCAGGCCCACTCTCCAGGAATTGAACAAGAGATACCTCACCGTCTGTGGCCCTGCAACCATCTTTAAATGAACAAATGCAACACTCGGAATTGCCTGTCGGACAGATGTGCGGGGGATGTGTGAGCTGCCTGTGGCCCCTGAGGCAGGGGTGGGATTTCATCAAGGGGACACTTAGCAGCTGCTTGCCAGCTCACACGAGGCCCACCATGGCAGGCAGGATGAGGACAAAGGCTTTGGGTCACCAGGGAGCATGTCCTGGGTCCTTAACCAGGCCATCCCACCTCCCAGGAAAAGCCCCAGAGGACGGCCCCCAGACCCGGACCCAGGTTGTCTCCCCCTCCCGGCTCCTCCGGCCACTCCCATTCCAGCCTGGATGAGCAAAGGCAAGTACAGGAAAAATGGGCAGGGATACGGGATGAAGGAGGAGGAGGGAGGAGGGGGCAGGGGGAGACACTGGCCTGGTAGGCCACAGGACTGAGGACTGCAGGAAGCTGCTCCAGTGGGCAGCCAGGGAGGACGGGGATAATGAAAGGAGTGGGTTCCCATCGGCTCTGCTTTCCCTCCGGGGGCCCAGACTGGCCTAGTGCCGCCGAGAGGGAGACACATGGTGCCCACCCCATCTTGGCCCAGGTTCTATACCTGCCTCTCACTCCACCCAGGGAGAAGGCGTGGGCTCACCCACTCTCGGTGAAGCTCCAGGTACAGAGTTCCTGGGAATTCTTTCTCCCTCAGGAAATCAAAGCCAAGGCAGGTCAGGGTCAAGATCAGCTACGTGCGACCCACGGGACAGGTAGAGTACGTGTCCTCTCGCTAATGTCGGTATTTCAGACAAAGCCAGCGACACCATGTCCAGCCGCTGCTCCGGGGATGAGGCTATGCAGCAAAAGCCTGGCTTCAGGGGCTGGGGAGACACCTGACGTAGGAAGGAAAGTCCTCGGACCCAGCAGAGGCAGTACTGCTGCTGGCTAAGGTACCCCACAGCACCAAGCAGAGCAGAAGGGGTGAGAGGAAGAGGGTGGGCACCCTCAAACCATAAACAGGTGTGCACGGAATCGAGGCCATGCTGAGCTCTGCCCTGGGGGCCTGAGCGTACCTGGCCACTCAGGCAGGACAGGCCTCTGCCCGCCATGCACTGAGACGGTCACTGTGCTCACTGTCCTTCAGGGGACCTCCTCGCTGGCCTAGGCAAGCTCTTTTCCACTATAGCCCCTACCGCTAGACGCTGGTGCTGCAGGCTGCTGTCCATCAGGATCACCTGGGGAACTTTTCATTTTAAAACATTTTTTATTTGCCAGAGAACATATGCATTTGTCAGAGTAAGACAGAGAGAAAGAGAGAGAAAGAGCCCCCACAACGCGGCGTGGTTGCATTGCAATTCCTTTCCCTCCATTTCTCTATCCTGTGAGGACTTGGGGCACACATGCTCAGTGTGTTTCTCAAACTGCCGTGGCAGAGATTTGATGCAGTCAGCCAGCCATGTGGGACCTGGCTCCCCTGACCCTTGGCTACTGGGCACCTGGAGCTTTCATATCCAGAGTTCCAACCCCAGAGATTCTGAATTAATTGGTATGGCATGGGGTTCTGCTATTGGCTGTTTCATTTTAGGCTTCCCTGGTGGTCCTAGTACGCAGCCAGGATTGCGGACCCCTGCGTTGGGTTAGTGTCTGCCTGTCCTCACCTAGTGTGCTCCTGTGTGTCAGCTTCCATGTGGCGCTGCACTCCTCTTCTAAGGACACACTCACGCTGGGCCAGGAGGCCCACCCTGCCCCAGTATGACCTCATCGCAACTTGATTTCATCTGCAAATACCCTATTTCCAAACAAGGTCTTATTCTCATGTCCCAGGGTTTAGGACTTCAGTGTTTCTTTAAGGGGGACACAATTTACCCCATAAAAGTGCCTATAACTTAGCTGTTGAAAGGAAAAGAATAGTCATAGTTTCAAAGCCAATAATAGGCAGGACTTTACATTCCAAACTGTGAGCTCATCCTTCTGCCCCAGGGGCCTCTTGGGGTCCCCAGCACATGGCCTGAGAATGCCCTGTGAGGTGCGGGGTGTGGCACCCCACGGAGCTCCAACAGCATTCAGGAGACCAATGGTTGCTGGTTACCCAGGTTCTGTGCCAGGAGGCGCGGGAAGTGACACTGGTAGGAGAGGAGCCTCCAGGTGGCTTAGAAAGCCTGAACTTCCCTCCAGGCTCCTGGGAATCTACTCTTTCTGGCCCAGCCAGAAGTTCCCAATAGCTGCGGGGAAAGCAGACAATGGCAGGCCAGGCAGGGAGGAGTTCCCTGGGCAGGGACTCATAACCAAGGGGGATCTCTGTGGTGCCCTCCTCCCTGTCGCCCCTCCTACATATTATGGACACGCTGCCACCTCCACATTGTCCCAGCCCCCCTCAGAGGCGAAGTCACACTGCTCTGCCATTTGCTGGGAGGACTCGGCTTAGTGACCGTGGCTTCTGCAGGCTCCTGTTTCCCGAGGTTTACCCAACAGCTGGTCCTGCTGGCCGATTCCCCCCTCTGCTGCTCGGTGATTCCGAGGCCATTTCACACTCGGCGCTGGGCCTCGGCGTGCGGCAGGTGCTCGTTCATCGATTAGCTCCCACTTGAGAGCTCATCTTGGCACAAGGACCAGGCCTTCATGGCAGCACACGGAAGCCGGGGTAGGGCCGCACCTGCCTCCCTGGTGGCCTGCCGTTC